TCAAGTCGCTGCCCGCCCCCTGCCCTTCAGACACCGTGGCCAGACCCCACGGGGCGCACCCTGGCGGCGCTGTCGCGTGTGTGTGCGTGCATGTGTGTGCGCGCGTGCGTGCATGTGTGTGCGCGTGCATGTGTGCGCGCGCGTGCGCGTGCATGTGTGTGTGCATGTGCGCGCGCGCGTGGGGGGTGCATGTGTGTGCGTGCATGTGTGTGCGCGCGCGTGTGTGTGCGTGCATGTGTGCGCGCGCGTAGGGGGGTGTGCATGTGTGTGTGCGTGCATGTGTGTGCGCGCCTGGCACGCGCCTCCTGCCCCGCATGTGCTGCACCCTCCACGCAGGTCCTCAGCCCCTGTTGTCCCCTCTCTCTGCCCTACGACCCTCCACCAGGAGGCACCTCCTCCCCGTGGGGCTCCGCCTGCGCCCCGCTCTCCCCGCCATCACAGCTCTGCGTCACTGGCTACCTCTGTCCCAGCGGACCCGGGTCTCCCGAGGGCAGGGCCAGGACCGAGTCGCTTCTGTACACAGCTCACTGCGGGTGGTCCACGGGACATTCTGGCCCACGCACAGCTGGACACAGCGCTCCCGTGGGCTCGGGCTCCCCTCACTGACCTCAACGCCCACCCCGCGTCTTCAGGAGAATTTGCACAGGGCCCTGCACCCTCCTGTCCCGCATTCTTCAGCCCTGGATCAGGGACCCCTCCTCCCCCCAGGGAAGAGCCGTGTCTGCCCATGCGCTCCCCTGCCCACCTGGCCTCTCCCTTCCTGGAGAATTCTAGGCCCGGACAGGCTAAGAAAACGCTCCCTGCCCAGAGCTGGGGTCTCGCCTGGCAGTGAAATTCCAGGGACAGCTGAGAGGGTCTCAGGGGCACCGACCTTAGAGTCTAGAGCTGAGACAGACTGCCTTTGGGGAAAGACCAAGATTTTGCAAACACCTTGTCTACAATTTGAACTACAGCAGATGCCCACAGACCAGAGGGTAGTCGCCCATTGGCTCCCGCTGCGCCCCCAGCCTCAGGCTGCCTCAGGGCTTGGTCCTAGGCCTCCTCTGTCATCCCTCCACAGGCTCCCAGGGCCCAGGGACCATCTCGGTGCCAATGATCCCAAATCTCTCCCTCTGTGCCTGACCCCTGGGCTGAGTTTCAGACCGGCCATCCACTGCCTGGAAGACGTCTCGACAGGCACCTCCCACAGACTCAACTGCCCAACACTCACTCCCTTCCTGCTGTTTCCCCTCCTAGAAGGGCACCATGCTCAACCTGGGCTGGAGTCAAGAGACCTGGCTCTCAGGCCAAGTCTGGTCACCTGACACACTGCTGGGGGTGAGCCCAAGAACTTGGCACAATCTGACCACCCTCTGCACCCTGCTCCCTCTCCGTGGTTCAGTCACCACCAGCACGCTCCTGGGCAGCCTCCTGGCTTTTCCTCTAACCCTCTCCAGTCCTGTACCTGAGAGCTTGCTGAATGGAGCTCTGGCCACTTCCCCTTCCTCAGTCTATCAGGTTCAGTGGTTTCCCAGGGCTTTGGAGAAGTCTGCATTGCTTGAGGGATGACTGTGCCCCAACACTCAAACCTTTGAGCGTGACTTCAACGTCCCTGTGATCTGGGCCCTGCCTCCCACGTTTCCTGTGTCCCTCTCTTTCTACAGAACCACCAGCAACACCTAAAAGCACGGGGATTTTACCCACTACCAGGCCCACCATTCCCTGCAGGGGGACGCCTTTCCCTTACGACTCATCTCACCCAAGTGTCTCTGCTGACCACTCCCATTCCTCTGGTCACTATATTTACCACACAGTGATACACTTCTGGGTTCCAGTGACAACAGTCACACAGCCAGCTGCTTGCACACTCCAGCCGAATGCCAGGCAACACAGGCCAACCCTTGGGTCTTCCTACATGTCACAAAGCCCAGCCAGACCCACTGGACTGCCACCGGCGTGCAGAGGGCCAGCAGGGCATGGAAGTCACCTGTCTCCTGTGCAGCAGACGCCAGGCCTGCCCATTTGCAGAAAACCTATTCTACATGTGTCAGGCGCCAGGAGCAGGCAGCACACAGCAGGGCAAGGGCTCCAGGCGCTCGGCGTACAAGCCACAGCAACAGGCCACGGCCCCTGCAGGGGTAAGGGTGCCGGACCCGAGCCAGGCAGGCTGCAGGTTCCACAGCTGCCTCCACAGCCCCCGTGGTTTGCGGTTAAAGGAAAACTGTGCATTTCTATGTTTGGCATATAGATTGCTCACACATTTACAAACTTCCAAAAAACAGAGGAGGAAGTCTGTTTCATTACTCCTCTACACACTTCAATTTAGGGAATGGGAAACCTTAGGCAGGTCCCGTCATCTCCAAGGGCTCGGTGTCCTCATCTGTGAAAAGGGGATAATACCATCTGCGCTGTTGAAGTGCTGGGAGGACACAGTGAGATCAAGAAGCAGAGAGCTCAGCACTGTGTGTGGTCCTTGGTCTGGGGTCGGTGAGTGGTTGGCATCACCATCACCATCACCGCCACCATCACCATCACCACCACCACCACCATCAACATCACCACCATCATCACCCTCACCACCACCACCATCACCATCACCACCACCATCATCACTACCACCACCACCACCACCATTACCACCACCATCACCACCACCACTATCATCACTACCACCACCACTACCATCAACATCACCACCATCACCACCACCACCACCACCACCACCACCACCATCACCATCACCACCATCATCACCATCACCACCATCAACACCATCATCACCAACACCATCACCATCATCACCACCATCATCACCAACACCATCACCATCATCACCATCATCATCACCACCACCACCNCATCACCGCCACCATCACCATCACCACCACCACCACCATCAACATCACCACCATCATCACCCTCACCACCACCACCATCACCATCACCACCACCATCATCACTACCACCACCACCACCACCATTACCACCACCATCACCACCACCACTATCATCACTACCACCACCACTACCATCAACATCACCACCATCACCACCACCACTACCACCACCACCACCACCATCACCATCACCACCATCATCACCATCACCACCATCAACACCATCATCACCAACACCATCACCATCATCACCACCATCATCACCAACACCATCACCATCATCACCATCATCATCACCACCACCACCATCATCACCATCATCATCACCATGATCATCATTACCAAGCCAAGTCACCTGTCCATGGCCCGGGACCCTGGACTCTGGGGCCAAAGCCCTGCTCTACCCTTTATTCACTAATTGTGAGATGCTGGCCAGATCACGTGGCCTCTGGACCTGTTTCCTCAAAGGCACAGGATGATAACATTGCTCTTTCAGGGGCACGGTGAAGGTCTATCAAGATGTGCTCCATGCCCAGCACATCCCATCACCAGCAAGCACCTGTCACTGTCTCCCCCTGGCTCCCAGCACACAGTAGGTGCTCAATGAACCTCATTTCCCAACTCGGACAAGGGCCGACCCTGCAGAGACGCGCGGCCAGGGCCGGGGCGGGGGCGCTCACCTTCCTGCCATCGGCCCCGCTCTCGCTGCCCGCGAACGCGAGCTTCCGGCGCACGTAGAAGAGCATGTCGTCCTGCCGCGGCGCCCATTTCTCCATGAAGTAGGTGGAGAACATCCAGGTCCAGAAGGCGATGCGGTCATCCTTCAGGCACCCTGCAGGGGGGCCAGGCAGCAGTGAGAAAGGGTGGGCAACCTGGCCCTCGCCACGTACCCTGCCCAAGCCCTGTCCCCTCCATCCTCCCAGCCCCAGCCTGCATTTCTGCACAGGAACCTGCCAGGGCCCTGCGCTGTCCAGAGCCCCTTCGCCCTCACCACCCACCATGGGATGGGCAGCCAGAGAGGCTCAAGGACACCTCCCTGGAGGCCCGACCGTGCACCCAGGGGTGGCCCAAAGCCCCGGCTCCCAGCCCCACAGCCGCGCCAACGCCAGCCCGAGGATGAGTCAGCAGCTTCGGCGGGAAGGAAACACCTAATGAGAGGGATCGTCAGGGGGCTGTCTGCGCTGGAGCAGGAAGGGCTTCGGAGGGGAGATCGTCACCAGACAGGCACCACCCTCAGCCGTCCCCACCCCCACCCCAGGCTGCGGCAATCCCTCCAGAGAATTCGACTTAAAGGAACAGCTGCCCCTTTGCCAGCCAGTCTCGGCGGCGGGCGGAAAATGGGAAGGCGCGTGGTCCCCTCGCCCCTCGCTGCGGGGCCTTTCAGCACGCCAGGGCTGGGCTTATTCTTGCCTGATCTTCGAGGGGACTCTGCTTTTTTGAGAAATAGTGTTTCTTTATGATAAACAAATCTAGCATAATGCTTCCTGCACCAGGAGAGAAAGCCCCCAGGCTCTGGTAGGAAAGGCCTGGGTTTCCACTCCGCCTCTGCCACTTGCCATGTGACAGCAGGCGGGCAGCCTGGCCTCTCTGATCCCCAGGCTCCTTGTGGTGAGTGTGGGCTGACGGAGACCATGGGCAGGAAGAGCCCCTGCCTGGCACAGAGAGGGGTCAGCAAAGCTGGGTGTCCTCCCTTTCTAGATGGATCCAAGGGAATGTCAGGAGACGCCCTAGAGCAATTCTTATAAACTCAAATATTCTGTTGCTGGGTTCTTTCTCTCTGCCCAAGATGCTTGACCATCGTGACCTTGTGCTCCAATTCGGTGCAGGAAGGCCCCGCCTAATCCCTACACATAGAGATGGGGAGCCGAGGGCCAGCACTGCCAGGACCCTCCCTCGCCCTCACAGGCAGTTCAGTGGCCCAACCAGGACTGGCCATGGGCCCTGACTCACAGCCCAGGCCCCCTCATCCTGGGGGGCAGCCATCAGGGTGTCTGGAAGGCAGAGTGACATGCAGAAATCGCAGCCTCAGTTTACTGCTGCTGCACTGCTGCCAAAGAAGCCAGGCTCCTAACCAGCTCCGGACCTCCGCCCTCTGCCGGGCTGCAGGGCAGGTCGGTGGCCCACCCACTCCCACTCCCACCTCCTGCCCAGCTCCCCAGGGAGGAAACTGAGGGGTCTTCTCTGTGGGGTTTAGATCAGCCGATTAACATAAACGCAGCCTGTCAGCCTGGGGAGAAGGGGGGGCAAAGGCAGAGCCTGACAGTCGTCTCCCAGACTCCCGGCACCAGGGGGAACCAAGCAGACTATCTGCATCACCAATTTGAAATTCCTCCCACTTTTACAACAGGCAACGCCGATTCACGCCACTACAGATCCCCTGCAAAAGTAAGCAAAGGTGCTGTCTGTGGTTAGTCCTGGATAAAAACTTGAACTCGCCCCATAATTTTGTTTAACTTTCAGCTCCCTCTGAGCCCAGAGCCCAGCAGAAGGCCCTGTCGACGAAACACTCAAAGACTGCCCACTGCTCCCTGGTCCCACAGAGGACACAGAAGCAACTACGGCCAGGACAAGGCAGGGGCAGTGACTCAAAATTCCAGCACCCACCGCAGCGAGGCCAAAGCTGACCAGCAGCATCCTTCCTCGGGGTGAGGCTCTGCCCTTCCTTAGGAGATCTCTCTTTTTATTTTGCTAATAGAAACAAACTGGTGATGGTACCTCGAGCTTCCAAATGACGATGACGATGGCAAGAGCAGGGGACGAAGAGCCCCACGGAGGTCACCTGGTTAAACTCTCACCAGCCCTCCTGTTACTGCCCCATTTCACAGGAGGAGAAACTGACTCTCAAGGTTAATGGACGCGCCCAAGTTCACAGAGACACAAGCCGGCACACCCTCAGACCTGTCAGATATGTGCTATGCTCACAGCTTTCTAAACGCAGGAACCAGGTACTTAATGCGGACAGAACTGCTTAGCAGGCAGCTGGGCATCCCAGGAGGGCAGTAAACAGGAGGGGTCTTGGGAGGGGGGGGAGTCGGAGTCTGGTTTCAGGAATGTGGTGCTGGAGCTGGCAAATGTGTGCCCGTTTGCTCTCTAGTATCCACATGCCCAGCCAGGGCCCGGCCCAGTGGGGCCCACACGGAGGGCCCCGTTTCCCTTGCCTTACAGTGTGGGGGTGGGGGTGACCACAGCTCACCCCTCCCCACTGATTGAGTAAAATCTATAGGCCCCAGGGTCTGAACCAGACATAACGCCAGTATTTACTCCTGAGGTTCAGTTCACACGGGGAATCCCGGGGCCCAGCCCTGGCCGGTCCCTGCGCCCTCCATGGCCACACCCAACAGCACCTCAGGGGGATGGTGAGCGGCCCGCTGCTGGTCCCACCACACGTGCTCCCAGTGACACTCCCAGCAGCCACATGGCCGCCAGGAAGCCCGCCAGGTGCCACACATGTCAAGTCCTCCCCACCCTCGCTAGGGTTAGTACCAACACAACACACCCAGCAGGCAGGGACTCGTACGGTGTCAGGGAAACACGTGTGCACGCACACACTCACACACACATGCGCGCATGCACTCCGACACAATACCCGCCAGGTGGGGACAGACATTCAAGACGAAGGACTGCTAGAACCACTGCCAGGAGGGGGCCGTGGGGGCCACACCGGGAGCCAAGGGCGGAAAAGACGAAATACGCCATCTCCACACCCAGGACACTCAAAGTTTAAAAGCCAGAAGAGATGTCACGAAGGTCAGGAACAGTCAAAGCTCCCCTCAAGCCCAAGAAATAAAGAAGAACAGGGAAATCCCAACCCGAGTGAGGGCTGTAATATAAAGAGTCCACATCATATCAAGTTATGAAAGAAAGTGCGTAAGACCCCGCTAAATACACGGGTAAAATACCCAGACAGGTAACAGACCAAGAGGGAAGCAGGAGCACTTAACCAAAACGTGGGAAAATACTGATCTGCTAGGAATCAAAATTTCATATTAAAAGTCACGTTGTCATTTGAAGAGGGCAAATTCAGTATTGAAAAAATATCACCTGGGGCCCCAGCCAGTTTTGCTGAGTGGTTAGAGCATCGGCCCTCGGACTGGAGGGTCCCAGGTTCAATTCAGGCCAAGGGCATGAACCTCGGCTGCACGCTCGGTCCCCAGCCCGCATGCCGGAGGCGACAATCCGTGTGTCTCTCTCACACATTGATGTTTCTCTCTCTCTCTGAAAAGTAACGGAAACAACATACTCAGGTGTGGACTAAAAAAAATAATAAAATCTATCTTAAAAAGAAACACTTAGGAAAAAGGGCAGATTCTTACAAGTTAAACATGTATTTACCCACGATCCAGCCACTGCTAGGGACCTGCCCAAGGGAGATGCGTGTGTCCGCCCAAACACCGGTGCACAGATGTCCCTGGAAGCTTTGTTCTAATGGCCCCGAACTGCAAACCAGGAAAACAAGACGCACGAAACGTGAGGCAGCGACTCAACCAACGGTTACTGGCGATGAAAGCAAAGCACTGGTCCACCCACAACAGATAAATCTCAAAACCGTCACGCGGAGCGAGAGAAGTCGGGCACAAAGGGCCACGCACTGTACGATCACAGTCCCCTGATGCTTCAGAAAAGGCGAAACTGTGGTGACAAAAGCCGATGCGGGCACCCCGGAACGTCTGGCTCTGCCTGGCGGGCGTGCTCAGCGGCTGAGCATCCGCCTAGGACCCAGGAGGTCACGGTTGATGCCCGGTCGGGGCGCACGCTCGAGTTGCAGGCTCGACCCCTTGACCCCCAGTCGGGGGCGTGCGGGAGGCAGCGGATCAATGACTCTCATCATCGATGTTTCTCTCTCCCCCTCTCCCTTCCTCTCCCTGAAATCAACAAAAACATATAAAAAAATTCAAAAACCAAAAAACCACATTCTGTTTCCTGACTGTGGTGCTGGTTTCACAGGTTCGTGGCACCATCAAGCCACCAAATTGCTCACTGTACACAGATGCCCTTTATTTCGCCTAAACTACACTCCGATAGAGCTGATAAGACGTTATAACTGCGGAAGCTGGGAGGGGTGGGGGGTGGGGAGCGGGGAGCTCTCGTGCGTGCTAGGGAACAAAAATCACTGCATCCTCTGTGAAAACCCAACGAGTATTTTCCTGTCTCTATGACTCTGCCTTATGGAACAGAGGTAAAAAATACAACAATAAAGGCTTATGCACAGAGGCGTTTCCTGTGCCACAGGGACAGCACAGGGCTGCGGGCCCGTGGGGACTCTGCGCGGCTCCTTTCCCCGTCTCCGCCGGCGGTGTGGCCTGCCCGGATGAGGTCACGGGACCCCAAACTTCCAACGTCCCAATGTCACGTGGTGCAGTGACTGTGTGTGAGCAGACACACGAGGGGTCACCCGACCCCTCCTACCAGTAAACCCCTCCTCCCTGCACCCTTCCCCAAGGGGAGGCCAGCAGGAGACCCCCGGGTGACAGCCCTGGGAGCTGCCACTCCAGAAGACAGCTCCCTAACCTCCAGACTCTTGCTGGCCCTGTGTCCCTGCCATCGGGCCTCCGGGCAGCAGGTTTTCCTGGCCCTCGGGCCCAGTGGATCCCCATATAGGAGAGGTGCGGTCAGTCCCGATGCCGAGCCCCTCGCCGGGGCAGCACCAAGGACAGCTCCACCGCAGGCCCGCCTTCCCGCTGGGCTGGGTCCCTGGGCCGCAGTCCTGGTGACAGCCCCTTCTCATTCCCGCTGCTTATGTCCTATAAAGTCGCCACCAAACGCTGCATTAGCCAAACCAGACCGCAGCTCCCAGGGGAAGCGCAGGCTGGGTTCCTTCAAGCCTCCGGTCATAGTGTTTTGTCTGCCGATCAACCCTGTTTTACGTGTTTCTGTCTGAAGACACCTCATTTATACACGGTGGAGCCATTAACAAGGAGCTCCAGGCCACTGGCACTGCAACTCGTGCCTGAACGAAGCTCAGCTAACACACGCATCTTTCTCCGTAAGGCCCACCGGCAGCCTTCGCGTGTCTGGGACTAGCCAGGGTGTAAACATGACGCTTGGGGCCGTTTCAAACAGCAAATCACCACCGTGAAGCACAAAAACGCAAAAGACGTGGCACTAAGTAGACAGCCTGAGGGCTGGAAGCAGAGGCAGAGCCACCCTGGGCCACCTCAGCCAGGGACACGCACCTCAGGTGACTCCAATGTCTCACCATTCTGCACGTCCCCAGTTAACCTCGGAAGCGGCCCGAGTACCGATCTGGGCACAGAGGTAAACTTGAGCAAGCAGCCGAGCTTGCAGACAGAGCCCATAGATCAGGAGGGCGGATGCGCCAGGAAAACGGACACCCGCCAGCTCCCGGGGGGCTGCGGGACCCAGCTCCCGCCCCTGCCGCCCGCGGGTGGCCCGCTTTGTGACCACTGTCTCCAGCTTCCGAACTGGACGGGCCCTTTACAGACAAGCGGGCACAGGGACAGAGAGAGGGCACAGAGCCGTATGAGGACCGGCGCCCGGGCCTCCCTCCGGCCACTGTCTCCTCAGAAGCTGATTCTTTTCAGCCCTCGTTTTCCTGGACAGGTTTGTTAATTTATGGGTTTGCCAGTTTCTACCATCGCTTGTTTGTTTTGCTTTTTCTGCAGAGCTCTCTGACTTTACCTCATTTCATCCACTGTCTTCAAACAAACCTGCAAACCAACCACTTTCCACGAATGACTCTTGCACCCGGGCCAAGCTGCTGCCCTGTGCAGCCCAGACTGTCTGTCCCGGCTTCCTGGGCCCCAAGTCAGTTCTCATCACTTCCCTGCTCCAAATCCTCAGAGAGGCTTATCTCCTCACCTCCCTCGGGCCTTGACTCAAATACCTGCCTTCCCG